AAAATATGGCGATTTTTTTTTCAGCTCTGATGTATAAACAGATCGGATATCTAACAAAGTAAATAGATACTGTATTTCTTTCCATATTGTTTTTTTTTTCTTTTTTCTTTTCTCTATTTCTGTCTCTTTTCTTCTTTTTATCACAGAGAAATTGGCCCCTTAGCATAACTTTCCTGATTTCTATTAAACGTCATATCACGAAAATTATCGGGTATCTGTCATAAGCTTAATAACAACTTTCGTCACCTGCCAGGAATGAATGACTGAAACCTCGTTTAGAAAACAGCTGTTCGAACCACAACACCAAAGGATGGAATTCAAGAAGCTTTTCACCACTATAAGCGAAAGGATTGGCAGAAATTATAACACGCAAGGCGGAGCACGATGAGACGACTAAGAAAAATGTGTGACCTTTACACGATAGTCGTTTCGTAGTGTCCGCTGGCTTTATCAACAACATTTCCTGTGAAACGAAGGAGCACATACGCACACCCCCCCCCCCCCCCCACACACACATACACACACACACCCACATGCGCGCGCGCGCGTGCACGTGTGTGTGTGTGTGTGTATACATATGCATTTTAGATGTACATATATATATATATATATATATATATATATATATATATATATATATGTATTATGTATATATGTATATATATGTGTATGCATATATATGTATATATATATATGTATATACACACACACACACATATATATATAAATATATATATATATATATATATATATATATATATATATATATATATATACATACACATTTCCACCGTTTATTATCATTCATTTTTTAAATGAATGATAAATGAATGGGAGAAAGAGAGGGGGAAGGAGGGGGAGGGAAGAAGAGAGGGGGAGGGGGGAAGGGAGAAAGAGAGAGAGAGAGAGAGAGAGAGACGGTGAGTGAGAGAGAGGGGGGAGAAGGGGAGGGGGGAGGGAGAGAGAGAGAGGGAGAGGAGGAGGAGAGAGGGGGGAGGGGGGAGGGAGAGAGAGGGGGGGAGGGGGAGGAAGAGGGAGGGAGAGGAGAGAGAGAGAGAGAGAGAGAGAGAGAGAGAGAGAGAGAGAGAGAGAGAGAGAGAGAGAGAGAGAGAGAGAGAGAGAGAGGAGATAGATAGAGAGAGAGAGAGAGAGAGAGAGAGAGAGAGAGAGAGAGAGAGAGAGAGGAGGAGGAGGAGGAGGAGGAGGAGATGGAGGAAAAGGAGGAGGAGGAGGAGATGGAGGAAAAGGAGGAGGCGGATGCATACACTAAACGCACCAAACAGCCATAGCTCTCATCATTACCGGATGTGTTAAATATGAAAAACACCCGACACCTGGTGACAGATATCCCTCGGAAGAAACCCAACTCGTGCGGAACACATCACCCTGTCTGCATAATCTTTCTTAACAAAGGGAGTATATATTCTAAGCCAAAAGGTTTTAACAAAGAAAACGTTTCGGCTGTGTATCTAGTTATACCGCTTCCTGTGACACTCTCCCATGTTGATACTATGGTAGAATAAAAACACAATGTAAAACTAGATAGTAATAATAATAACAAAAATAATAATAATAAGAAGAAGAATGATATCAATGATAATCATAATGAAAATGATAATAGCACTAATGATACCAATAATGATAATAATAATTATTATTATAATGATAGTCATCATAATCATAGTAACAATAATAACGATAATAATAATAATAAGATAATAATCATAATAATATTAGTAATAGTAGTAATAATGATAACGATATTGATAATAATACCAATAATAACAATAATGATAATAGTAATAATAATAATAATAATAATAATAACAATAACAATAACACAATAATAGTGATAATGATAATGGTAATAACAGTAATAATAATTATTGTTATTATAATAATTAAATAATAATATTGATAACAATAATGATAATGATTATAATAATAATAATGATATTAATGGTACTGATAATAAATATTATGAAGATAATAATAATGATTATAATATTGATAATAACAATGATAATAAAATAATGATACTGATAATGATAATAGTAATGCAAATAGGTAATGATAATGATAATAATGATAATAATAAAGATAATGAAAGTAATGATAATAACAACAATAGTGATAATAATGATTGCAATGATTATGATGATGATAATGATGATAAAAATAATAATGATGAAAAATTATAATGATAATGATGATACTAATAATGATAACATAATAATAATGACAACATAGTAATGGTAAATATGATAAAGTAATAATGATAATAATGAGAATAATGGTGATAATCATAATAATAATAATAATCATGATAAAAGTAATAATAACAATAATGATAATAATTATAAAAAATGATTATGACAAGAATAATGATAATAATAATAATGATAGTAATAATAGTGATGATAATGATAATGATAATAATAATAATGATAATGATTAGGATACAGATTAAAATATGAAGTTAATAATAATAATATTATTAATGATAATAATAATAATAGCAATAATGATGATAACAATAATAATGAAGATAACAATGATAATAATAATAACAATAATAATAATAATAACAATAATAATAATAATAATAATAATAATAATAATAATAATAATAATAATAATAATAATAATAATAATAATAATAATAATAATAATAATAATAACGATAATAATAATAATAATAATGATAATAATAATATCAATAACAATAATAATAATAATAATGATAATAATAATAATAACAACAACACTAATAATAATAACAATAATAAGATGATGATAATAATAATATCAATGAGATAATAATAATGATAATATTGATGACAATAGTTACTATACTGATTATAGCAATAACAGTAATAAAATAATAATAATAGTAATGATAATGGTAGTGATAGTAATAATGATAAATTATTACGGTTTTTTTTTCATTTCTCTAAAAAAAAAACACGCCAAGATATACAATAAGAATGTTATCTCTCTCTTTCCCATCAAATGATAATAATAATAGTAATGATAATAATAATAATAATAATAATAATAATAATAATAATAATAATAATAATAATAATAATAATAATAATAATAATTATAATAATAAAATAAAGAAATAAATAATATTAAAGTCTCCCCTAACGTGTAGCTAACCTGTTTCCTGTGAGCTCTCTCGTCAAAATATATAATAAAAAATGTTATCTTTCTCTCTTTCTCATTAAACAAGAAAAAAATAATAATAAGATAAAGAAAAAAAAATATTGAAGTCTCCCCTCTTCTCCCTCCCGTGTCATTAACCCGTTTCCTCTGAGCTCTCTCGTCAAAACATATAATAAAATATGCTATCTCTCTCTTTCCCATAAAAAAATATATATAATAATAATAATAAAATAAAAGAAAAAACAAATATTAAAGTCTCCCCTACATCTACCATATTGTGTCATTAACCCGTCTTCTGTGCCCTCTCTCGTCAAAATATACCATCAAACAAGAAAAAAAATATATATATATATATAATAATAATAATAAAAGAAAAGAAAAAAACAAATATTAAAGTCTCCCCTACATCCACCCTACCCGTGTCATTAACCCGTTTCCTGTGAGCTCTCTCGTCAAAACATATAGTAAACTAGAAAAGCACTCAGAGAATGCAGACCTCCACCAAGGATGAAAAGGATCAGACAGCTCGGAGTTTCTTAAAGAAAAGGCCCTCATACACAATTAAAAGGCAACAGTTTGCTTTTAGTTAAGAACATAATTATCGCTCGAATGTACTTGCACCGCTACTGCATCCACAGTGACACCCGGGACACGGCCAAGTCCAAATACATCATGATTATCTTTCGGATGTACTTACACCGCTGCTGCGTCCAGACGGTAATTCGGAATGTCACCAAAATTTGATCAGTTCTAAGTTAGTCCCTTTCTGACTTGTCCCCAAAATTTCAATGAAATCCGGCCAGCACTTTTTGAGCTATGATGTTATCAAACAAACAAACAAACAAACCAACGCCGTCAAAAACATAACCTCCTTGGCGGAGGTAAAAATGCTATCTCTCTCTTTCCCATCAAACAAAAAATATATATAATAATAATAATCCTTCCCATTAAACAAGAAAAAAGTATAATAATAATAAAATTAAAGAAAAAAAACTAAGATTAAAGTCTCCCCTACGTCTCCCTTACCCGTGTCATTAACCCGTTTCCTGTGAGCTCTCTCGTCAAAACATATAATAAAAAATGCTACCTCTCTCTTTCCCATTAAACAAGAAAAAAAAAATATATATATAATAATAATAAAATAAAAAAATAAAAAAAATATTAAAGTCTCCCCTACATCTCCCCTACCAGTCATTAACCCGTCTTCTGTGTGCTCTCTCGTCAAAATATATAATAAAAAATGCTATCTCTCTCTTTCCCATCAAGCAAAATATATATATATATATATATATATATATATATATATATATATATATATATATATATATAATAATAATAATAATAATAATAATAATAATAATAATAATAATAATAATAATAATAATGATAAAAGAAAACAAAAAAAAACAAATATTAAGTCTCCCCTACGTCTCCCCTACCCGTGTCATTAACCCATTTCCTGTGAGCTCTCTCGTCAAAATATATAATAAAAATGCTACCTCTCTCTTTCCCATTAAATTCTCTTACCCACCAAACAAAAAAATAAAATAATAATAATAAAAGAAAAGAAAAAACAAATATTAAAGTCTCCCCTCTTCTCCCTCCCGTGTCATTAACTCGTTTTCTGTGAGCTCTCTCGTCAAAACATATAATAAAATATGCAATCTCTCTCTTTCCCTTTAAACAAGAAAAAAATGCTATCTCTCTCTTTCCCGTCAAACAAAACAAAAATATATATATAATAATAAAATAGAGAAAAAAAAAACAAATATTAAAGTCTCCCCTACGTCTACCATATTGTGTCATAAACCCGTTTTCTGTGAGCTCTCCCAAGCAAACATGGCCAGCCCGACGGACGAGGCGGCCTGCTCGGGCGACGGGAAAAACGAGGCCCACGGCATGTATGGTGAGTGGAAAGGGTTTTATGGATTATGATGCGTATGGAGATGGTAACTGGGTTAGTTCTGGGTACTTGGTTCAGGTGTTGAAGGAGGAGGAGGGGAGGGGCGGGTTGTGTCGAAACGAGGTTGTGATTGGGTTTTGGGTTTTTTTTTGTGGATTTTTTGAAAAATAAGAGTTCGATGTGTTTTATCTGTGATTTATCTTGAATCTTCGTGAATTCCATTGCGGGGAGGCAATAGCCCTACAGGAAGGGGGTCGTAAGGGACACAGCCCCCCTGCATGAGACGCTATAGTGACTGATTCTGTGTGTGTGTGTGTATGTGTGTGCGTGCGTGCGTGTGTAATTTGATATGTGTACTGCAAGAGATACTTGTAAGTTGCCTTATATGTCCTTTTTTTTGTCAAAATTTAGATGAATAATTGATACATAATTGTCATGAAACAAAATTACTGTTTGTGTGGGTTTGCAGAGTGCAGAGTAGTAAAAGACATTTATATAACTGTTTTAATTGATGTGGATAGTTTGTATTTGTGTCTTGTATGTAATCTCAGTTTTTATTTTCAGTGAATATTTTTAGCTATGTATCATTAGTACATAGTACATATTAAGTTTTTATTTTGTATATCAAATTATACTTCCCTTAACTTAAGCTTTTTCTCTCCTACATGTAACCAAAGCGAGCATGATGGAGAGTGTCGGCATTGACATTATAGACGAGATGGAGACGGTGGACGAGACAGAGCCAGAGCCAGAAGACAGACCTGAAAGTTTGAACGGTGAGTATTAGGAAACCAAGCTTTTTTCTTTCTTTCTTTCTTCTTTTTCTCTTTCTCTTTCTCTTTCTCTTTCTCTTTCTCTTTCTCTTTCTCTTTTTTCTTTTTTCTTTTTTCCTTTTTCTTATTCTTTTTCTTTTTCTTTTCCTTTTCCTTTTCCTTTTCCTTTTCCTTTTCCTTTTCCTTTTCCTTTCTCTTTCTCTTTCTCTTTCTCTTTCTCTTTTTCTTTTTCTTTTTCTTTTTCTTTTTCTTTTTCTTTTTCTTTTTCTTTTTCTTTTTCTTTTTCTTTTTCTTTTTCTTTTTCTTTTTCTTTTTCTTTTTCTTTTTCTTTTTCTTTTTCTTTTTCTTTTTCTTTTTCTTTTTCTTTCTCTTTCTCTTTCTCTTTCTCTTTCTATTTTTCTTTTTCTTTTTCTTTTTCTTTTTCTTTTTCTTTTTCTTTTTCTTTTTCTTTTTCTTTTTCTTTTTCTTTTTCTTTTTCTTTTTCTTTTTCTTTTCTTTTTCTTTTTCTTTTTCTTTCTCTTTCTCTTTCTCTTTCTCTTTCTCTTTCTCTTTCTCTTTCTCTTTCTCTTCTTCTCCTTCTTCTTCTTCTTTGTCTTTTTGTCTTTTAGCATAGTTCATTTGAAAGACATAGTGGAGAGGAAATATTGGCAACTGCACTGAGTGGTCGGCTGAGAATTTAAAGCTGTTAGATTGGTTATCTCTGTTGTTTCTCGAGCAACTAGATTCTAAAAAATCGCACTATGAAATTGTGTAAAGATAGTAATATCATTTGCAAGGATATTCATGTCACAAGCATTATTAACCATTTTGCATTTCATTATTCCTAGAAGACAAGGCATCATAGTAAAAATTCTTAACATGGACACTGACAAACAGTGCACAAGTAGGGGACCTCATATCTAGATCATTTCATACTTACAGTGATAGATGGTATTCCCTCATGTTCTGTCTGCAGTTCACATAATCTTGTTTATGAAATATTTATATCAGTAGGTCCAGATATTCAAGGAGATGAGACCATGTTACATGAGAATGTTGAAGGCTGTTTAAAGGATATGAAAGGAAGCTACTGCATAAATATATTATATAGACTATATAAATGTTATAAAGCTATAAATACTACCTCAACAAATCTCACTGTCCCCCCTA